TGCCTATGTTTTAAAATGGGCGAAGTGAAGCTACATGGCTATGTAGATTCAGACTTTGCTGGTAAGGTGGACCACAGAAGAAGTATTACCGGGTATGTGTTCATGGTGGGTACAACTGCAGTTAGTTGGGTTTCGCAAATACAGAGGATTGTAGCGTTATCTACTACAGAGGCAGCGTATGTGGCGATGACAGAGGCCAGCAAGGAGATGATTTGGTTACAAGGTTTGTTGACAGAGTTGGGATTTGAACAGGAGAAAAATGTTTTGCACAGTGATAGTCAGAGTGCGATACATCTGGCAAATAATTCAGCATTTCATTCAAGGACCAAGCATATAGGACTTCGGTATTACTTTATCAGATCTTTGTTAGAAGATGGGGTGTTGACACTTGAGAAAATACTTGGCACAAAGAATCTGGCTGACATGTTGACCAAGACAGTGACCATGGAGAAACTTCAGTTGTGCGCAACTTCAGTTGGTTTTCTAGCTTGAAGATAGAAAGAAATGCACCGACATGTATGGGACATACATGAGAAGAAGATGGAATGGGTTTACAAGTGCTCCAGACTCCAAGTGGGAGATTGTTGTGGTTTTGTGGAGTTTGATTAGGTGAAAGATTTTTAGGAAGATTTAATTATATGAAAACTTCAAGAGTACTGAATTTTAAGAAAAATTCAATATCCTAATCTATTAGGGAAAATTCAGTTTCCTAATCTGATTTGACTTCCTTATTGGTTTAAGGAAAATTCAGTTTTCCTAATCTGATTTAACTTCCTTATTGGTTTTGAATTTTACAAAAGGCAAATTCTTGTAAGACAAGTTTGGGGACTCTATAAATAGGGTGAGAAAGTTAGAGAAAAATGTGTGCCAATACAAGAGAGAGCATTTGAGAGAAACTGAGAGAGAATTCTCCTTGTAATTCTTCATCTTTTTCATAGTGAATTTGTTCGATGTGCTCCATGGACGTAGCCCTAAGATTTTGGTGAACCATGTATATTTTGAATTCTCGGGTGTGATTTTTTTTCCTTTGTGATTGTTTGATTATTCTTCGAACGTGCGTTATAATTTTACGTTTTCATCACAACAATTGAAATCAAATTCGATTGATTGTGCAATGCAACTCTAATATAGAGAACTCTGACCAGTAGAGACATATGGATAAAAAGGTCATCATGATCTACCTGACTTGAACAAATGTACAAGACCTATTGAGCCGTGCCAGCTATATCATTTAGTGACGTTAGCCATTGCCATATGCATTGACTGTACTAAGACCGATCCCATTTCCGATTGGAATGAAAAGTTAAATGTATAAAAAATTCAATCATTAATCTAATATCAGGTTGCCCGAAAAGAGTATCAATATAATTTACCCTCCTGTTTATATAGTATACATCCTTTATGATATAAGTATTTAAAAATAAACTAGGAGAGAAAAAGAATAACAAATATTTAATTTATATTTACTTGGTCAAATTGACTCCAAATCAATACACTTCATTTTATCATAGTATAATGATATTATAAGATAATTATTGTTTTAAAATTATCACAACATAAAAATAAAAAAAATAAAAATAAAAAAAATAAAAAAAAAAACAAAAACGACGACGATATGGGTGGAGGCATATCAGGTAATTCAATCTTATGAAGTTTTATCTGAGCAGTATCCAAAAAAAAAGTAATAGTTTTATGCTCTACTTCTTTTTTAATTTTTTCCATTACTTGTTTACTAATTTACATGTCACAATCACAACTCCAGCACCATAAATTATCAAAACACCTGGCTAATAAGATTTAAGTTCAATGAGCCCACAAAGTTAATCAAAGTATATATATCATTACAGACTAAAAAGTAAATTAATTAAACCGTAGACTCATCTCATATAACTTAAACCCTTAAATTTAATTATTGTAGGTAATGTGATCAGTTTTTTTAAAGTGTAGGGATTCTTTTGAAATGGGTTGAGAGTTTACAATCAAATATTAAAGTAGTGGAGATTTTATAAAATTAGCCCATATAAAAATTGAGACCTGAGAGCATTCCAAGTGCATCTAACCAACAAACAAAAAATTCAAAATAATCAACATGCCTTCTATTTTAAAGTCCTAAATGATATAATTCGATCAAAAATGACAAAAGATGTAAGTATATGCTCATCGGACTGTTTCGTGTAGAAAAATAATCTTTTCGGATAAAAAATCAACACTTTAAAATTGGTCCAGAAATTAAATCAGTACGCTGATTTGACCCTCTAGCTATCCAAATGAATTACTTCAGACAATCAATTTTATTTGATTAAACTAATTTCAAATCAATTGATGCATTTATTTTTTTTAACAAAAATGGTGGTGTTATTGGAGTTGGAAAGTTTGTGCTGATATGATTGGGTCGGCCCACAAAACTTTGTCCAAGTCAAACTAATACTAGAAAATAGGTTGTTTTCTCACCTATGTGCTCATCCCTTGGTTGAATCAAAGGGAAATTAAAACAAAATGGCTAAAAAAAAATTGTTGTAGAAATGTTCCTTTATTATTTTTTTAGTTACAGAATATTGTATGTGCGGGGTTTAAAACAAAGGAAATTTGTTACATAAGTAAATTTGTTTCCCCTAGCACACACAATAGTAAAACAAAGTATTTAATGTAAGAATATTAAAATAAAGTTATTTTTTTATTGTTATTTTTTTCGGGGAAACAATATTAAAATTTTATAGATATATATAATTCAAAAAATTAATAGTATATAATTTTTTGTTTTTTTTTTGGAAAAAAAAATAAAAATGAGGGCAAATAGTAGATCCGTCCCCTAGGGGCAAGTAAAATTAATTAGTGATTAATATGTCGACAAGAACAAGGACTTAATTTGAACACACATGATTTATTTAGTAGGATATGTGACTTTTGAGCAAAACCCCAGTCGTTGGACTTGAAAAATACGGTCACCGTGGTATACTAACTAACTTACTTTCATCTGTTCCTTCTAGGAAAATTCTTAGACACTCAAACCATATATATATATATAATAGAATATCGTTGGACCAGTTCTAACCCCTTCACATGCTGTTTATTCACCACACCATAAATTCAGTAAGTATATATATATATTCATTGTATGTAGGATATGATCAGTTGATCTCCAACAGTGTCAAATTTGTACTCAAACTCAGCAACGTACCAATTGAATAGCTAGAGAGCTGGTTGATATAAAGCTGAAAATGAACACCAATCGCAGCTTGACTTCCTTTGTTTTATTGTTGCTGTTATTTCAGTTGAAGTCTGTAATGGGTGGAAATGAGATGGAAAAAGTGAACTCCATGCTGCGTGTAGCAGCTCATCTCAACTACTCCACTCAGAACCCAATTTCTTCCAAAAAGGCGCTCCCATCTTTCTTGGCCGTCCATCCTGATTACCGTTTTAAATTCAACGCAATTGAAAAGCCCTGTGCAGTATCTCCTCCAGGAAAATGCATTGTTTTTTTTTTTTATATTTTTTATTATTATTTTTGTTCTTTTTTGTTTTTTTCTTTCTAAAGACATTTAAACACAGGAATGACAGTCGCCCCAGGTTTTTTATGACTTGGACAGTGGCCTAGACCCGGTCCACATAATTCTTAAGTTTACATGTCGACCTAATCTAAATTGGTGTATGATTTATTTTACATTTTTTAGGTTGACCAACTGAAGTTATATAGAGGGTGGGTAGGAGAATGTGAATAAATTTACCAAAAATAATAAAATAATAATCGTACCCTCCTTCTTCTTCTTCTTTTTCTCCTTCTTCTTCTTTTTTTTTTTTCTTTTTTTTTTTTTTTTCCTAAGCTTTTTAAGTCTTCTATTTCTTTTTTCCCTCCATCTTTTATATTTTTTCTTCTACCAATTTCATATCACTCTTTTCTCCTATTCTTTTCCAATCTTTGAGTCTTCTTGGACTCTTTAATATTTGTTTTCTTGAAAACTTTCACTTTATGTGACGAGCATGATATTTCAAAGGATTGAAAGTTAAGTGAAAACTCTAACCATGAAGCGAGTCGTAAGTCCAGTGAATAATCTTATGTTATAATGATATATGAGTTTATTAAATAAATAGTACTAATAATTTATATTTACTATTTGATAGAGTCAAATTTTCAAAATTTTGAAAAAATAAAATTAACTAAAATATTGACGTAGACATAAAGGTATCACTTTTAAGCACATAAATACCATTTTTTGTGCAGCCACATATTACTCTTTTTTTTTTTTTGTAGAATACAAAAAGTGACAAATGAACCGTATTTTTTATATTTAGTATTTTGGTCAACTTTATTTTTTTTGAAAATATAAGACTTTAATCTCATCAAATGGTAGATATGGATCATTAATACAATTTATATGTAATTACATGATATATATATATATATATACATATACACATATATAGATATATATATTTATAAATTTTTTATTTTTTAATTTAAGAGGCAAAAGTCGAAATCTAAACATCAAACCAAACACATACCCGGTGGGCCCAGTTTTTGGGATGCCAAAACTAATAACACGTTAGAAAAATGAGACATTCAATGAATAATGACCTTGGGCTTAATGTGGAATTAGGAGAAGGGATTGGTGAATCGCAGAACGTAGAAAGAGAAGAGTGTGAAACATCCGTTTCATTTGAAAAGCCAAGATTGTCAGCTTCCATCTACAAGATCCTACGGACTAAAGACTTACTGACCACCCCAACGCCACTGCTGGCACCGGAGAAAGGGGTTACCAAGAGAATACAATGGGCTCTTATCAACGTTGAACTTGATTTTATCTCTTTCAAGAAAGATGGACAAATACGAGTTCAGTTTTTCCTGGTAATTGCCAGTACTCCTATATATATATATATATATATATATATATATATATATATATAGCTTTTTAAATGTTAAATTCGTTTTGCAAATTTTTTTTAGCTGGATGATCCTATAGTGGTGGACCTGAACAAACTGGGTGGCTGGGAATCATTCGCTGATTATACACTGCCACATATATACTCAAATTTTTATGTGGCTACACTAGTGGAATATTACTCGGGTGAAAGCATTACTGGCAGGACTGTACCCATACTCAAAAGAAAGGGGAATTTGCTGACATATATGAATGGGACTAAATTTGACACCTTGTCTTCCACTAAATTAACAGTGTTTCAAACTTCTGATACTCAATCTGAATTTTACTATGAATCAAGAAGTAGGAGAGAAGTTTCAAGGTTAACCAAATGCGGTGGTATTCCTCAGCATGTTCCTGACAGGGTCAGTAACTTAATTTCATGTCTTTCTTCTTCCATTCCAAGGTTTTACCATAATCTGTTTCTGTAACTTTCTTTTTCTTTCTTAATTATTTTATTATTTTTCCTTTTATTTGTTTATTTAATACAGCCCCAATTTAGTGTTTTTATGGTTATGCCAATCCAAGATGTGATGACCACCAAAAACATGTGGATTTTCATGAAGCCATTTAGCTTGGAACTTTGGCTCACAATTTTCATGGCTTCCATTTTTGTTGGAATTTCAATCGGAATTTTGGAGCTTCGTGCAAGCCACAGTAATCCAGAATTCCAAGGTCCTCTTCGTCGGCAACTCAGCATCATGCTTTGGGTTCCAATTTCAATGGTTGTCTTTCCCGAAAGTAAAATCTTCACTACCCTTAATATGTCAGAAGCAATTTTCCTAGTATATCCCAAATTCAGATAAAACGTTTAAAAATATTTAGCAATATATATATATTCATATTACACTTTTATAATTATGGTTACTTTTGTGGTGATAACATACAGGGAGGATGGTGGTTAACAAGTGGTCTAAGTTTGTGTTGTTGGTATGGTTGGTTTTGTCATTCATTCTATTTCAGTGTTACACCGCAAAGTTAACATCAATGTTGATCTCAGTAGATGATGAGCCACAACATTTCTTCAATAAGCTTGAAAGGCCTTACATTGCTGGATATCGTAATGGTTCCTTTGTGAAAGATTTTCTGGTAGAAGAGTTGAAATTCAGTGAGTCCCGTCTCATGGCATATACAACCATTGATGAGTACCAGAAGGCCTTGTCTAAAGGAAGCCGCAACGGAGGTGTTGATGCCATCTTTGATGAGCTTCCCTATGTCAACTTCTTGCTCCTCAAATATGGTTCTAAATACACCAAGGTTGGACCCATAGCCAAGACAAGTGCATTTGGCTTTGTGAGTCTCTCTTTCCCGGCCCTATATCTATGTGTGTGCTTGTGATACACACACACACACACACAGTATTTGAATTCTAGCTTATTGATTTTATCACTGAAATTCAAGTGCATATATAGATCAAATATTTTGAAATTGAATCAAATTGGTGGAAATCTAATCCAAAAAGCCTTTTAACTTTAGTGTATCCAATAATTATTAACGTCTCAGCGCCAGTATTATTCCCTCATTTAGATTATGAGCATTACAAACAAAATGATATTCAAAATCAACCTTAAGTGATTTATTAACCAAAAATTACCAACATTTAAGTGTATCTAAAAATTACAAACAGTTTTACTTAAATTATTTATAGAATGAGTATAAATGATTTATTAATCTCTAGATATATTTGATTTTGTTGCTACACATCCTATTTATTGCAGAAAAAATCTGGATATGATGAACTTCCATCGATTTCTCCACAAAGTCCTAGCCTCAAAGCCCCTAGCTTCATAGGTCTTTTCATCATTACAGGGGTTGCTACTATATTTGGCTTAGTTTGCTCTGAAATATCTAGAAGATTCTCCGGGAGACTCTCGTCTAATAGGCTTGAATCTAGGGTCCTTTCCATAGTTGAAATGAGTGTCGCCGGAGATTCACCAATTGCTGAGAATTAAGAGCATCGTTCTAGCACATCTAACCAGAGCGTGTGGAATGTTTCTATAGCAGAAGAAGAAGAAGAAGAAGAAGAAGAAGAAGAAGAAGATGCGGTAGAAGAAATGGTGCACTTATCCTAGCATGGTGTCCACACTGAAGGTAAGCCGAGTAGCCTGTGTCAAGATCATAAAGATCGATATGACTTGCTTTGGCTGAATTCTCCAATTTTGCCAACTAAATTACTGTGTAGAAAGAACTTCCGATAATTTTGGCATTGTTTGGAGTGTGGTGTGTTTGCCAACTAATACCGTGTAGAAAGCACTCCCTGTAAAATTGAGTTTCTGTTTGTTTTACATAAAAATATTTGCATAGTTGTGATAAATCAGCATGTATGAAAAATAGTAGTAATGACCAACAAACCCCGCGAAGCACAAGTCTTTCAGTATGGGACAATAATTAAATTTTGTGTGAAAAAGACCTATATGACATTGAAAGATAATATTAAATTCTAACACATGAAATTATTGAAGTAGTATAGCAATGGGAGATAAAATAAAATAATAATAAAATTAAATTAAGCTAATTAGGTCATATGCAGCAAAAACCACATCAATAAGGAATTGTGATGTGATTCATGTTGAGACTATTGAGAGTACCATGAGGGAATCGGGAAGATTAAAATCAAGTATGGTGAATATATATATGTATATACATATATGATCCGTTGTGAATTGATTAATATTATGATCTTATATAAAGCAAAATGACAAAAAAATAAAAAAAGAAGAAGTATTAGAAGTGACACAAAGTGCGCCTTTTATGCAAACACTAGGATTAAATTTGCAAACTTCGCTTGCAAAAGTCGCACAAAATCTTCAGACTTTACTTTAGTTGTATTAAAGAGAACGGTTTTGATGTGCCAGTGCATCATGCACTGAGCACATCACAAATGTCTGTGTAATGCACATACTAAAAGAAACGATTGTGGCCGTGTATCAAACACACAAATTATATATTCCTTATTATGAGAGTCAACTCCAACACTATATAATATCGTCAAGACTCCTAACTGATAATATTTAAGTTGTATTTACTGACAAAGCTTATTAAAATTAACGGGTCAGTTGTCTAACGATATCAACCTCTTACTTCTCAAAGGAATGTCATGGTTCAAGTCTCACAAAAGATAAGTGTACGTGAGTACCAATTAAGAAAAACAAAAACAAAGCTCATCAAAGTCAAAAATTAAATTAATTAAATCTTAGACTAAACTCAAATAACTTACGCCCTTGAATTTAATTATGTCAAATGACGATTATCTATTGCTCCAGGAAACTTCCCTGCAATTGAGGCTATGGAAGAAAATTCTTATTACTCGACCATAAAAAATTAAGGAATTCGAAAAAACCTACTCTCCTCCCACTCAGAGTAGCTGTGCCTGTACGTATATATTTATATTCATTTAGATAGTACCATTACATGACTAAATTAATTAAACCGAGACTTTTGAGAAAATAAAAATTAATTAAACCGTGGGTCCTCTCAAGGGTCTTATACCCTTGAATTTATTCGTGTCATTGACGTTGGTAAATTGCTCTAGGAAGTTTCGCTGCAATTGAGGTAATGGAAGTCCTTGTCTAACCAAACAAAAAAATATATATATATGTATATTAAAATAACTTCCACTCACATTTCAAATCACTTTTTCATCTTTGACGCAATTAAAAAGATGTGATAGAATATTTTTACCTTTATTTATCCAAAAAACCTGAAATTATCGAAATGCCTTAATTTATTATGCAGAAAACACATCTTGAAGGTGGTGTGGCCCAAGAAGAAGAAAACACTTGTCCCAAATTTATAAAATATTAAAAAGAGATTAAAAATGAATCAAACCCACTAAAAATGGGTTGATCCATTGCTGCATCTAGGGTTCTTGTTTTCTTACCACTGTCGCAGTGTCACGCATGGTGTTTATGTTGGGAACAGAAGTTATTTTTATTTTTATTTTTGGCACTCACACACACATGTCTTTTGTGAAACTTAAACTCTTAACTTCCCTTTAGGAAGTAAAAGGTTGATATTGCTAAGTCACTGACCGTTGGTGGAACGAAAGTTTTTAAAACTTTATTAGCATTTTTGAAATAAAGATCTTGATTCATGTATAGCAATAAGTTTTATGCATGAAGAGTATGATGATCAATTCAATTTAGGGATAAAAAACTTATATCAAAGTTTGAGTAAACCTTAATCTCTCTAAAGTAAATATTCTCACTTATTGTAGATCCCTTTCCTAGATTCTTTCTTCTTGGATCTTTATCTTTTTTATAATGATCTTATCTTTAGAAATCACCCATAATCCTCCATGAATGACTTTGGAAAGCTAAACTTGTGAGAGATTCCATTAGATGAAAGCACGAACCCTAAAATCTTATAGAGAAAATAATTTTTTTGTCTTCTAAAACTTATTGCACATAGGCGTAACTAAAATATACATGGACCCCATGTATATATAGGCAAAATAAAAATAATAATTAAAGGCAATATATTTTTCTCAATCTTTCAAATTAACATAATATCTCAAATCTAATAGGATTCCAATATCAAGTTGGGCTATAAGTGAGAATCCTTTAGACTTATTATTTTCTTGGTTACAATGAATTAATAATTGGCCCAGTTCATGGACCCAATTCAATCAATTCATAAATTAATTTATATTCCACTAAAAGAAATTAATTGAACTCCAATTAAATAATAAATAACCTCTAAGTCAATGTTACACTTTGACCTTTTTATGCATAATTAGTTATCGGATAAATAAAGTCATCAATCTGAATTCTTAATTAATATATTTATTTTGATACCTTTGATTATTTCCGGCTTGATCACAATAAAATATTTGTTTGACAAAAATAATAATTTAAATAAATAAATATATAATAAATCATTTTGTCTAAAAATACACGAAATCATTCGAATTTACTTTGTAATCAACCATAATCAATACAAAATAAATACAAGTAGCAATGATACAAATATTGAAAATATAATTCTCTAAATATTAATTACATAATTACCCAAAGTGCCGGTTTATGGATTTCGAAAATTCCGCCGAACAAATCAAAACAATTACTAATTAATAAAAGAGTCTATATTTCTCTCATACTTAAGAGTCAAATGCCATGATAGTGATAGGGAGCAATTGCATACGACGGCTCTCGCAATATATCTCAACCTAACGCGGATCCAGTTTAAGTCTTAATTAACAATGAGTTCATCCATAATTACGGATTATAAATTATTTATGATTACTATTTATGTTCATGTATTGATCGCCATCACATACGTATATAAATATCTCTTGTAATCAAGTGGACACTATCAATTCCATAATGAATCGAAATATAATATATTGAATTCACCAATTGTATAAAGTATAAATATTTCAGATATGTTAGGAAAATATGTCAATTTAATCCAATTAAGAATTCGTTATGCCAGAGCATATAAATCCCAACAGCTCAACCTCCTCCAAAAAAAAAATAAATAAATAAATAAATAAATAAGGAAGAGGTGGCTTTGAGTGTGCTCTTATATTGTAATATAATAAAATGGAAAAATTATTACACACACCAAATTTCAAAGGAGGTGAAGCTAAAAAATACTAATCTGACTATATGTAAGTTGCCGGGAACTTGAGGGGAAGTCACTGTTTATTTACCATTTTATAATTAAGGATATGATAAACAAACCATTGGACACTTCTGACCCCTTCAAATGCTGCTGTCATTCACGACGACTTTAACAAATATGTTGTTTTGAGCACTCAATTAATCCAACAGTCTCAAAACTAGTGCTTAAAGTCACCAGCAACTAAATAAACTGCTTTGGAAGAAATATGGAAATGAACACCATCCCCAATGTCAGCTTTATCTTATTTCTTTTATTCTTCTTATTGCAGTTCCAGTTGGAGGTGAAGTTTCCAACTGCTGGAAGTGATAGTGATCACACAAATGGGATTGAAAATTTGAACCCTATGCTTCGTATGTCGCGTGCTCCTTATTTCAACTCCTGTGTGTTTGATAACTCAATTCCTATTGAAAAGGGCATCTCTTATTTCCAGGCCATCCATTCTGATTTCCATATAAGATTCAATGCAATTAAAAGGATTTGTGCAGCACTTCCAGGTAACTGTAATTTTTTTATCTTTTTTTTCTTTAAAGTTTTTTTCCCAGGAAATAAAAGTACTCCAATAAATTTATTGAAGTTAAAAAGAAAGAGAGAGGATGTTTTATTTGTTGAAATACAGTTTTATCTTTTATCAACATTATTATTTTTATTTTCAAAATTATTACTTCGTATTTCAACTTATGATGAAAATCAAATCGCGATCTCTACAGCAAGAGACAACTGATTATACAAATGAAATGTTTATAAGATTTTTGATTTATTAATTATTATTATTACCACCTTACGCTATTCTTAACTAAAGATCTAGTATTGTACTTTATTACAATATTATATGATAAATGTTTCTGTTGTTTATTTAATTTTTATGTTTTTTGCGTGCTTGTAATATACCATAATACCAACTAACTAAATTTGTGATTCAGTTGTCCAAAATTATTTTTGAATGCTATTCAAATTTTTTTTTTAACCCTTTTTTCAATTGTTAGAAGTTTCGTTTTTAACATATCAAAATGACTGGAATATTAAAGAGCCTCTAATAAAATTAGTAGTCAAATTTTTTTTTTTGGTTGAAAATATACAAATATATATATATATATATATATATATATATATATATATTAAAGTGGACAGGAAAAATGGTTAAAAAATCCAATTGTTTATTTAGTGGTGAATTAAAATTGATTTTATTCTAACTTTATTTGAAAATCTTAAAATCCCATGTTTATTGTATATTGCTTTACTTAATTATTTAACTTATTTTGAATTGTATTCATTTTTCCCCGGACCCGATTTTCGAAAAAAATAAGAAATTTATTAGAAGAAAACAAACTAAGCAAGGCTAAAGCTAGTCATTAAAAGACATAACATTTTAGAACAATCAATCAAAGAAACATTCCTAACCAAAAGACTGAAATTCTGTGAAAGAAGAAAGATTGAATCTTCATGTTCTTCTTTAATTATTTCTTAATCGAGTCACAAGAAAAAAAATACTAATTCCTTCTATTGACATATTTAATTAATTGGCAAAGGAGATACATTTGTTGAAGACGAGGTTCTACGTACGGGAACATCTCAGGTGTCAAGTCCAGTTGGGAAGCAAATATGTCCAAGATGCTCAGCTTTCACCAAGAAT